ATTACCTTAACCAAAATCAAAGTAGACTATCACTCACCCACACCAGATGGAAAACTCTACAGACTGTCGGTTCACACCCCATCACAAGCCAGCAAAACATCCACGAAACGAAGAAAGGTCTGTCACAGCCAAAAAATACACTCCAGACACGCCGCTGGCACTAGAGGCACAGCATGGCCGCCTAGTAACGGCTACATATATAACAGTAAATGCCATTCGATTGATGGTTCAGTTTTTCTGCAGATACTGCATCATCCCGTATATTAAAGTGCTAATGCAGACCCATGTTATGAAATTCGGAAGAACAATTGCATAAGGAAAAAGAATGCCTACTAAAAGTCCAACCCACCCACCCACCCAATACTCTCACCCACGCAATACTCTCACACGCACTACAACCAACAACAGACAAGCTAAGAAGCTAATCGTCAGAGAGAGATGACTCGAAATCTGCTTCCTAACACGCCGCGTAGGCTAGATATGGCATTCATCCACCCACGCATCCGACTGATCTCGAAGCTGGGGATTTCCAAAGAGGGAAGACTGATTTCGGAGCTGGCGATTTCGAGAGAGGGAAGAGGAAAGGACTAACAACGACTGGCACACGGTATTTTACAATACACGGTATATTTTACAATACCAGTCACCAGTTCAAGACTTCGACATTCATGTGTTAACGAGCGAGTCGCCGAGTGCTCGTTAACGAGCGAGTGTTAACGAGTATACGTAAGTTTTACCTGGATGTATAACTCCTGGGCTGCGTTGTCCCAACACTTGAGGAAGTAGTCGGTTCCCCACTTGATGGCTTCTAACGCATTCCCAAGCTCTGCTCCATAGTCCGATGCGAACTCCAGGACTCCCCATGCAAGGAGCTTCATAGAGAAGGCCATAGGAAGACCGAACTTCACCAGATCACCGGCATCGTAATAGCCCCCAGTAAGGTCTTTCAATACATCCTGACCGTCCGTTAGGGCGGAGTCCCCTCTCCAGGAGAATCGACTGGGTCGCGGCAATTTGCCAGACCTTTGCGCTTCGAAATACAGAATGGATTTCTGCAACGCTTCGCCGTAGTCGATAGGCCAGGCAGCCACACTTGCGCTCCCGCCCACACCGGCCGTAAAAGTGGTATTAAAGCCGCCTATTGGACTCGTCAATGTAAGATTGCCAGTGATCGTCAGATTAGCACCGACCCCTGCAACACCCGTAATAGGACCCACGGCTCCGAAGCCTGCCGCCATACCATCACCGTACAGCAGCCTGGCTGGTCTAAACAGGGTGTCTTCGTCGATGGCATGCCCGCGAACAAACCGTATACGAGTCGCACCGACCCCGATTGAATGTGGAGCAAGCTCGCTCACCACGAGCAGAAAACTTAATGCCAGAATAAGGACAAGACGACTGATCTCCAACTGTAGAGGAACAACAACTCCATGATAGGTGGTATCGCCCCTTCCTCCTCTTCCTCCTTCCATGGTACTCGCTGTTGCCACGTCTCTCGGGCGCGTATGACAGGACTCAATGCCGGTGCTTGTCTGCCGAAGCACCTAACGGAGGATTCCGTACTCGAGATCCCTCGGGATCGACGGAGTAGAGTCCGATCTCCCCTCTAAATCAAGTAACAAATCAAAGAAATAACACTAAAGTAAATGCACCTCTCCCCCGTTCGGTGCCGATCACCTCTCTCACTTTCTCTTGACTCGTTTACGGTCCTTAAACGGAGTAAGGAAGTGAATTCCTCTCTCTCTTAAATAATAAAGTCGAAGTCCACTCACTTTTCAATAATATAGTGAAGTCTCTCTCTTCACAACAACCACCACCTCTCTTAGTCTCTCTTGCCTCTTCAATCGCCGAGTCGTCAATGTAGGTCGAAGAGAAAGAGAAGGACGCAATGCACATTGCGATCACGAGCTAAGCCTTTTGAATGAGTCGTCCGGCCGGCACCGTGACATCCGCCGCCCTTAGTCTCTCCGCCGCCCTTAGTCTCTCCAACGCCCTTAGTCTCTCTTGCCCCTTCTCTCCCTCGATTCTCCGAATGAAACAGTTTCAGTGTAGAGATCACCCGGCTGGGCTGGGTCGCTTTTTCCCCCTCTTCTCCAGAGAAAGAGAGAGGAAGAGAAGAGTCCTAACTGGCCTTGGAGAGTGAAAGATCACGGACCAGCCAATCAAGTCCTCATCCAATGCAACACAACAGCAACGAACCCCAACCCTCGTAGCACTACAAAGCACTCGCACACACTGCCGACCCTGCGATGATCGACTCGTGCATCAGCAGCACTTCGGATCGGCACAAAGCATCGCGCCCGTACCATTCTCTCTATCACTCACGGACCACTATCCCCTCCTCCCCCAGTTACTTACAAAACTAATAGTCAGTGCGACACATGCATATCAAACACATATCAACCAGTGATCCATATATCATAAGCTTATCAATGTGTAGCCTGCGGACAGATATCAATATAACATATGCTGCTATCAATGTCACGAGTGCTGACAGCAAACGAGCTGCTGCTAAGACGCAGCCACCTCTATCACCACCTCCCCGGTAACTTTAATCGCAGGAAGCACAATGTCATGCTTACTCTGATTAACATCATCAATTTCGAACTCCAAGCACCGTGCTCTTCTCCACCACGACGCTACGAGAGAACAAGCAAGACGAACACGAACACGAACACCACTTGATGACACGGCATGGAAGCCGCGAAAAGCGAGACGGAAAGATCCTAGTTAGCTATATCCGAGGCAGCGCATTGCGCGCTAGCAGTCGCTATTCGGAATCTGCCATTCCTTCACGCCTATCCTTTCCAAAAAAAGGTTACCGATCTCATCAAACCTCCCGAGTCGGATTCACTGGGAGGCGTATCAATAAACTGTCCGGTGACCGACGCAATCGGCCGGGGAAAGGGAACAGACCGCTTAGTTCCAAGCGCATTATGCCACTGGCAATGGCATATGACGGACCTCCCTGAGGTCATGGGAGTACCTCAGTACCTCGATGCTCTGATGCTCTATCACAGATCGCAAGAGCCGCCGTCGCCTTTGCCACCCACCGGAAGCTGTGAAGCCGGCCAGACAACGGTGCTCGCTGGTGACAACACCCATTACGACAACAACGAGATTTGTGCATGATTAAATAGCAAAGCAAATGTTAACCATGTACGGGGAAGAATTGTCTTCCACGGCCGCCGCTCTCCGCTCTCTATCTCCTTCTCTGCTCTCTCTATCTACGCTATGGCAGCGGCCCGATGCTGCAATTGATTGCAGCTACCGGTAGGCCCTCGCCGGACAATCCACCCAATGCACAAAAGACAACGATATGGCAGCGCATCTTTGCGTGTTCTAGGGGAAAATTCATTCTCACTTTGACACATTTGGCAAGTGGTGCAGCGACGCCACAAAGGGCATGGACACACATGGGAATTTCATGTACGTATCTGAGCGTACATACGACTAGATTCTGCCTAGAAGTAGTAATTCGATCAGCAGTGTCGGCGATATACTATCCCGCTTTTCACACGAAAAATTACTGATGGACCACCAGAGGCGGGATGAATGAGGAAACATTCCCCGCTTCTTCGTTACACGTGCCGCGCCACTTGTCGCCGAGGATCAGGATCTTGCCGACTCCCGCCTCCTGGATCTTGCCGACGAGGCCAAAAAGTTAGTTTTTCCTTCAGCTATCGTCAACTACCCGCGGAAAGGACCTCGCTCCACTACGCGCGACACGCATAAAAGACGAAAACAAATGGTCGTGCATCTGTCCATGTTATGGCTGAAGATTCATTCTCATTTTTCACGTTCGGTGAGTAGACGAGCGAGGCCCCAAATCTGTGGAGGACTCGAGCCCCGGGCCGCTTATCACCAGCGGCCTCGCTCAACTACTCTCGACATACATAAAGACAAACATCATGGCGATGTATCTTTCAATATCCTAGCTGAAGATTCATTCTCGTTTTGCACATTTCGAGAATAGTGCAGCGAGGCCCACGTTCATGCGTGTGTACGAACGATTCTGCCACATGGGATGCGCTTTCGGTTCTCACGATGACAGCCCGCCGGCAAGAAGTAGCCGAAGTTCAAAAAACGAGAAAAGAAAAAGGGAAAAAAAAACTTAAAAAAAGAAAGCAGCCGAAGTTACCCGCCTGAGACATATGCTGTTGACAACGCGTTCACTTGTGTCAGTTCGCTGCTAGAAAAGGAAACGAAGGGCCTGCTCAACAAATATGCAAAAAGGGAATGCATCTTCCGGTAGAAGATGGAAAGATACAACCCCATATTTTTTGTCGTTTGTGCGTGTGGAGAGTAGTGTAGCTAGGCCCAAAGAGCTGAAGGGCCTCGAGGCACCACTCACCAAATGCATAAAGTCCAAAATTTATGGCGGTGTATGTTTCCATGTTCTAGCCGAGTATTCTTTCCAGTTTAGCACATTTGGTGAGTGGTTCGTTGAGGCCAGAAGTGGCAGATGTAGGCCTTTTGTGTTCTGAAGGACAAAAGAGCCCTCCAGAATGCATCTGAGCGCATTACAGGTCCACATCCTCTATTCAAAACGAACGCCAGGCTCTAATTTGGAGTGCGAAAGTGGGGACAATGGAGTACCCGGTGACACATGCGGGTTGTCTGGCTAAAAAACAAGAGCGTTGGAGACTACATTTTTAACTTTAGGTCCGCTGCCCTGGAGGTGGCCACTGAATGTATCTGTACGGATCTGAGTAAAACGTAGGATTCGTGAAAACCCAACAAAAAAAAATGTTGGGTTTGAAAGAAATTTATTAAAGATTATAAAAGTACAATATTTAGGCCTCCTGCATGAGCAAGATTTCACATGAAGTAAAACAACCACAATGAAAAGGTACTTTTTGACAACCACTAAAAGTGGCGAGGAAAAACATACGATTTTCCACATAAAATCACTACCAATTGAATCACAGTTTCGTAAGGAATTGAAATATGCATTTTTTTCATTATCTCAAAAGATTGTGTGTATAGTCCTATAAGTCATGCAGCACGCGGAACATGTTCGGGGGTTTTGTGAACAGACTAATATGTTATCTTGCTTGCAACTACGCTCGCTCAAACATGTTCTTTTTTTGGTGAGGAAACATTTTTTTTTTTCAAATGAATTTTTTATTTTTTAAAGTTTTTTTTTTTTTTTTTAACTTGATTTTGACTAAGAAGTTTAAGGTGCCTCCAATGCAAAACTTGTTTGTTTTGTTATTTTACATAACATATAATTTTTTGACAAGGATTTTAATACTAACTTGAAAATTGTCTTTTTTTTTTTTTTTTTTTTTTTAATAAAAGGGCCCAGTGCCCAAGGCTGATATTAATAAAGAGAACATTGAGGCTGGGGTCCTCACAGTCTACCCGGAGTAGCCAGACAGAACATGCTGGAAACCGGGCCCAGCGTCCCTTTAGGAATTGAGAATAGAAATTATGTGCCTCTTCACCCCACCAGGGCGCCAAAAATTTCTTGCAAATCAAGCACAGCATCCTACCATTATTGTCAATATGAAACAGGAAGGACTTTTCCTTTCTTTACCCGTACCACGAAGAGGGAACCAGACAAGATCTTGGTAGGGGAAAGGGATTTGGGAAATCCGATAAAGGTCTTAGAGGTATAGCAGAATCAACATCACTCCAATCATTAAAAACCAATCGGTAATTCCTTTGGAAACACCCTTGTCAATCTTCATGTGCTCCTTCCCACACCACCTTCCCCAGCCTCCCTCCCTGGTCCCCCCCAAGCCAGCTTCTATTGAATTGTTTAATGTGATACCAGATCTCATTTTGTAATGATAGATAGTGGATTTTTTCTTTTACATTTTCCCATTTAATAATCAGATCTGTTTGAACATGTAATTTAATACTCTCAGTAAATTATGGGTCATCCAGACGAGCGCCTTCTATTTCATAAGTACATCTTTTTAACCAGATTGCCCAAGTAATTGCTCTTCTACCAATCACGAACAGGTTAAATGTGAACTCATCGACTTGCTCCGGGTGCCAATCTTCCAGGAGGATGGTTTTCCATGCCCAGGGCCAGGGGAGGGTGGTGCCCAATTGATTCCAAATCCTATCCCACCACCGCCAAAGCCAGACTGACCTTGGGCATTGGAGAAAAATGTGCTCAATTGTCTCAGGTATGAGTTTGGATGGGAATGCAGATTTACAAAACTTGCACCAGGGTTGAGCGATACCTTTTTGTTCTAATGAGGTTCTGTCAATGATCCAATCATTTGTTGGAAGGCATCGGTGAACAATTTGTCATTGTAAGGAGGCTACCTTTGCTGGTTTAGATTTACAAGTTTGAAACCATTGGATCGTTCTCAATTCATCTTTGTCTATGTTAAGATTCTTCATCCAATGATTTTCAATGCGATCTTTTAATTTAATCTTGGGGTGAAGCATTCTGTAGGTGGATTTAACCGATAGAGTGTGCAAGGATCTAGAGTATGAACTCCGTTGATTACCTGGGCAGGACCAGGTCCAATTCTGTGGATCGAAAGGAAGATGAGAAATTGGTGTATCTGGCTTGAAGGAAAGTCATTTATCATTAACTTTTAACACTCTAATACGAAAAAGTTGGTCATATTGGCCAATATGTGTTGAGAACGGCGTATGCTATACACGAGTACTCACTAGAACTGAGTTTTTTACAACTTTCGATTTTGCCTTGCAGTTGTTTTATTGACGCTCTGTTTTTTGTCGGTCTGTTGAAAATGAGTTATAGTCCTATAACACGATCTTTGCTGTAAATGATTTTCCTGGACATTTTGTAGATCATTTTATTTTTTGCTCAGTTTTTTGCCTCGCTTCTCGAGAAAAGGTTCCAAACGCAGTTTTTTTTTATCAAATATAGTTGTTTGACTTTTAGTATTTAACTCTGTACAAAATGTTGGGTTTTGTCGTGTTGTTGGGTTTTCACGAATCCT